CATCTACACAAGAACAAAAGTTTCAGGTTGAGACGCTTAATGTACGCAAAAATGACAAAGAAAAATTCTGACCAAACAACAATCAGTAATCACAGAAGTGGGAAGGATTGAAGCCAAAGTAAGATTTGATTGCTATGATTGGTGATGAGTCTGAAAAGTACACTGGAAGCAACCAGGCCGACAATGACAACCGAAATCTAGAACTTGAGGTGAAGACCAAAGAAGCCGCAGTGCGAAGTAATAATCAGAGATGTGAGGTTCTGGGCAAAATAAACCAGATGGAAAGTCACAATTCCGATTTATAAGTGAGTGGGCGTATATAATGTAAACATAACAATTTGTGAACTGTGAATAGATTTGAACTGTGGAGGGGGGGGGGGGAAGGTTTTGCTACTTGTTGACAAAATAAAATGAGTTTTAAATGTGAATGAATATACTAATTTCCAAAGTATTTGTTGATCTCCACGAAATCATTGTTCCTTCATTGTAACCGCAGTTGCAAGTTCACGAAATTGAATAAGACTACACAGCATAGCAGAATAAAGCTGTCACAAGACAGAGACATGATAGAACAGTTTACGAAAGTCGCCATTATGAATAATAGCTATTAAAAGTAACTACCACTTGCGAAAGTGATTTTGGGAGAGGAAGGTCACACACAAATCGAATTTTTATCATGTTTTCTGCCTCACTTCTCAGAATATTTAAACCTCCATTAATTCGCAATTAAGTGCCAATATGACAAAAAAAGGCATTTATGCTCGAATCTCCTCCCATGTGCGTGCAATTATGAAAAGTCAAAGTAGTGACAAATTACTAAGGAATTAAACGCAGGCGATTAAATTTTAATTAAAGTTTTAATATCTCTTATCATGCCGCGAATAAATACGGATATCCACTCAGAACTCTGTAAATGGGGAAGGAATAATTCTAAATATCCATAAATTCGCAGGTCTGTAGAATTATTCGGCAAACGGGTTGACTGACTGTGATGGTAATGACGGGTAAGTAGGATAGACGAAACGGAGGTTCTTCACTAGAAAGACTCCAGGATTCCCCACTCCTTTCGCCTTCCAAGCTAGGCGTTGGAAAATGCTTCCCTTTAACGGATTCAAGACTTGATTTACTCACAAAGTCAAGTAAAAGGCAGGAGATATGAAAACAGAGAAGGGTGGTTACATTTAGAACCCCGAATGAAAAATAGCCTCCCGGGAGAGTAATAGAATGAAATTATTGAGGGTCAGTTTTCTTTAATAGCATAAGCAAAATTTTACTTACAATTATGCTAGAAAACAGAATATAAGAACCCCAATAAGAGACCTTTCAACCTGACCAACCATGTATTTCAACTTTTTCCGATATAACAAAGTGCACAAAACGAGTGATATTTGAATATGCAAAAGTTGGAAATTTTGAAACACCCGTAATGTACAAAACTTGCGAAAAAAAATTACCAGTTCGAATACTTGAATGCTAATATTAAAATGTCCAAACATGCTATGCAATGATCCACATAGATGACCATGAGCAGGTGTGAACCGTATAAACACTTCCAAAAAACTATGCTGATTGAATACCCACCTTGTCCTCTAACGAATAAAAGAACCTTAAACGAGTGTTCAAAGGTGCAGTTTATTCCAGCCTATAAACGAGTGATGCTAAAGGAGTTTCTTAATAAAACGTGGTCCAAGGGGTTTGAACTGTCTCCAAAGTATATGGGTGAGAGTTTCTTTTAGCTTAGGCTTGAACAGTACATCTCAAATAATTCATCAGGAGTAGTCCATACTGGAAGAGGTACAAAGAAATCAATTAATGCCATACTTTGAAAAGTATACTGGAGCACGAAAGTGTCACACCATAGTAGTCCCCATTGTCTTCCAATAAACACAAAGAGTACGAAGACTCTTTATAATGACGCCATATTACAGCGAGCATTGAAAATAAGTATGGTTTTAGCTCGAACGCGGTTCCATTAACTAAGACATTTTGAGGACTTGATTATGGCGGACGATATAGGAATTCCGTAGGAGGCGAAATTATAACAACCCTCTTTATAATCATCTATGGGAAGGGGGGGGGGCGTGCGATAGACTTACCTCCACGTGGTGCATCCTGGGCAACGTATACTCATGCGGCAAAAAAGTCTATCAAGCGGCGGTTGACTTCTGACTTCAAACTACCATCACCCCACTGTATATCATATTCGAATACTTCCACAGTACTCACTTCATCTTATTTCTACCTTAGTCTTTGAAACACTCTTCTGTTCCCCCCCCCCTCTCGACTTTCACTTTGATGTTTCTTCCCCTCTGTGAAGCCTGAAGTCAACAAAAGGGCAAGCTCTCAAACACTTGCTAAAGTTTTGAGAAATCAACAGCTAGGTAAGAAATTGAAAACTTTCAGATGGTAAATACTATGGGGTTGCCACTTGTTGAACTCTTATATAAATGACAGTTAACTTTTATGGACATATAATTTTGTACAAGATCTCTACTTTAATATTAACATGACATCGTATGAAGGTGTAGGATGTTTAAAGAATAACTTCCATTAAGATATCCAGAAGTTTACGTATTAAATACTTGTCAAATCATCACCAAAAGATAGAGTTTGATTTGGAAGATGAGAAAAGGCCATTAAAGAAGCACGTGCTCAGACCAATGTAAAACCCACGCAATATCTTGTAGCAAAACAAACAAGTAGATTCCAAAATGAAGTACGAAATTAAAAAGCAACTGCTAGCATATGCTTAAGTACAGATCGAATACCGAATTAAAACAATGTAATTAATCAATACAAAATGATTACCTACGAGTCAAGAACGAAAAGCCTTATAAATCCAAGCTTAAAATCTGTTCTCAAAAGTATTGCAGTGAAGCCCAATGGAAGTTAATTGAACCATGTGATAAAAATGGTAAAACGATCAATGTGTTTAAATAGCCGTGGCAAGAGAACACACCTTTTTAGAAGCCCGTCAAGCACACGCGTGTATAATAAAGAGTAACAAATGGTTAACTAGGGTTGCTATTTACACTCAAACTAAGAAAACTGGAATTGTTAGTAAATAAGGTGAAATGAATGAAGCTTAAACATTAATCCCCTGTCTGCTTGCAGGTCACGATTATCAAAGTAATTATTTTAGCATAATGGGGGTGTGCGATAGACTTACCTCCACGTGGTGCACCCCGGGCAACGTATACATTTACGGGAAAAGAGTCTATTAACTGGCAGTTGACTTCTCACTTCAAACTACCATGACCCCACTGCATTTCATATTCGAATAATTCACAGTACTGATCTTACCTTACCTTTTCTCTACCTTTGTGTCTGTCTGTCTATCTCTTTTACATCTGTGAAACATTGTTCTGTCCCCCTCTCGACTTTTTGCCACTTTGATGTTCATCTTCCTTTCTGTGAAGCCCAAAGTCAACTAAAGGGCTAATGATACCTATCATAACGCCTGCCATTTGAAATAAATAAATAAATTTTAGCATAATCACACTAGTATGCATTATTAGGTAGTAATGAAGAGCATGACTCACTTTTCGACGTTCCATTGAACGATTCCAATAAAGGCCAAGGGAGATTGAATTTGAAGGCATTGGCGTTGCACTTGTTTTGCAAGCACTCTATTACATCGTCGGCATCTGAGAGGGGAAGAGAGTCGGTATGGATGCGCGCATTGAAATCGTTTAACCAATGAGCAAAAATAAAAATGAAATGCAGGTACAAGCATGACTTACATTCTGTACTGTTACCGTCCTTTGCACAAAGGGCCAGCTACAAAAAATAAAAATATATATATAAATAGATAAAATATTCTATAAGCAAACCGTCAGGCCATTAAAACTGATCTAAACTTCTCCTAAACACCGCGAGAAGACTTACCCCGTTGGAGTACACTCTTGCAAATCCGTGGCACATTAAACATTTGCTTAACGGACTCCACAATCAAGCCTCATTTGAGTCAACAGGTGTTAAAGGAAACAAGAAAGCCTACTTAGATACGGCTAAATCAAATAAATCAAGACACGAGGAAGTTTGCATTTGACCGGACAACCATGGCCAAAAGAGGTCAACACATTCTCAAAAATAGTAATGCACTGTCTGACCTGAAATAAATAATGAACGTGAAAAACTGAGGGTCTCATTTTAGCACAGATTGATTATCACTTCAATAAATAATATTTTTAAAATGGGGGGTGGGAAGCAACTGAAAATGATAAGAAAGAGCCCAATCAATGATAAGGCCGGGAAAAAAGGTATTTCATTTGAATTTGGTACTTCACCTATTTTCAAAATATGTAGTTAGCGTTCTAAGTTTCTAGTTTCAAAATTCATCCATTAAATGATAGCAAACGCTTGCCGATGGTGTCCATTTAACCAGCCATTTGCTTTCATTTTTTATTTGATCGCCTGAAAAGGCTAAAGTGCCCATTCTCGTAATTCGTCAACTCATATTTTTAACATAGCAAGTGGTACGTTTATAAAGAGACTAGTGATTAAACTTAAGTCTCATTCTCAACTATAGTTATTTGGTAAAAAGAGTAACGCCTAACGAATATGAACGAGCATTTTTAACTAAATCCACAAAAATTGGTGAAAAGTTAGTTATTTTGTACACCGTTTTGTTCCACCCATTGCTACATTACTGGCCAACCAGATAGATAATAATTTACTGGTATATTTAGTCTATAAAGTCTAAGCAATGGAACACATTAGATAGCATAATATCAATCCATCAGTTCAAATCTAAGTCGATTAATTTATTCATGTAAAATCACTAGTCTTTCAATTAAACCATCTGGCTGATGAACATGGAACATACCGAGAATGAACTCCTCAGGAAATATAGAGGCTAAATCATGAAATGCTGACTTTGAAACTATTAGCAAATTCACCTAACTTAAGCTCTAGCTGCCGTACAGCTTCTACGTCTAAGCATTTTCCACAGAAACGGAAAATGCGATCCTAAAGCTATAGCTTTATTTATGAAACCTAGAGAGCCAAAAGTTGTTAAATTACCTCTCCCAGGGCAGAAGCATCACTTCCATTTATGTCAAAATTTCCGTATTATGTGAATATTATGTACGATTAGATAACTGGACGCGCAATTTAAAATAGACGCTAGTGCTTTGCTTATATTACGTTAAAAAAGCGGTATATGTATAACGGAAAATTTCAGCCAAGAATATAGAATTTGGATGCTCAAACATGGAACGTAGGAATGTGATGCCATGCGAAAGTAAAGGGCATTGAATAGTTCTAGAATTCAAAATTTTTATTGTGCTGATTTATTGACTCCTCTTCCTTAGATTTTGTTTCCTAAACACTCATCTTTCCCACGATTAAAGATGCCCATGAATTGGATAAATTATCAGAATAGAGCGCTTTGGTTATTAGAGGATTCGTTCAAATATCTCCAAAGTCTAAATTTAGGCTTGACCACAACACCACCAGTAGAGGGCTAACTGCAGTGACTATTCAAAGCGCCGACAGAATTACAAACCGCATTTCAGCGCAAGTTGAAGAAAAGCATGAATTTAAAACATTTATATAAAAAATCCTTTAAAAGTGTGAATGTCAAAATTGAAGACAAAAGGCACTAGAATAATTATGCAGCAAGATTCAACGCATACTTGATAAAAACGGTCACACTGTTACACATGAGTAATCTTACATTGTCAGTCGCCAGTCGCACAAGAACATAGTCAAGGATACTGGAGGCTTAAATGGAAGATAAGTCAATCACCATTAAGCAGCTTGCAGTGGAATTTACCATTCACCTGAGAATACAACGGTAATTTTATCTGGGAAATGCTCGACCCGAGTAACAAAAGACAGAGGCCATCTCGAAATGCAAAGTTACTTTAGAAACTTGTAGACAATGATGTCATAGTAAGGAGAAATAAAAAAAAGACGCTAAAGGAGAAAGTTCGACCACAAGAAAGGGGCAAAGGCAGAAAATATGTGGTGGGATAAAAAGGCAGTAGAAGAAAGAAACTAGCAGTGGGCACTCTAATGATTAAAATTAGCCGTTACTAATGTACAAGTAAATAAGGAAATATGCGAAAGCATTCAGAGGTGGGAAAATCTTGCGAAAAAAATTCTGGAAAATAAAATAGTATTTTCATTAGTTAACAGTGCGATAATGCTCTTAAAGTTGGTCAAAATGATGAACTCTTAGAAGAAGCATATCAGAAATGAGTGCGAAGACGGCAAGCTACCTATATATAAAAGAGCATCAAAAAAATAAATGATCAGATAACTACCTAAATAGTGAAGAATAGGGACTCCAATTAGGATACATTATCCAACTGCATCAAACGAGCAAATGATACCTAGAAAGTACTTTGATTTCATTTAAAAGAAATATTATGAACGGAAAACGCATGTTTGAAGAACTTAAACAGTCTAACACAATTTGGTAAATTAACGCGTTAATTAAAAACAAAGTTGGAGTAAAAGAATGGGCTTGCGTAGATAATGACACTAGGCAAAATTGTTAAAATCTCACAGTTTAGTGCATAAAAACATGCTAAATACTAGGAAATATATTTTCAAGAAACTCACATAGTAGAGACAAGCAGCCAAATGCGGAAATCTGGGGTTGTAGCGTAGACCCTCTAAGCATTGCAAGCAAAGAATTTGAGCATTCGCAAGATCTCCAGAAAACCAAGTAGTCTAAAATAGTGCAAACCAAATGGTTTTACTTTACGGCTTAAATTTTTAGACGAGCAGCTGTACTTGCCCTACAATGAGGTTAACAAGCAAAATATAACAAAACAGAGCCTATAATAAAGGATAAAACCCAACATAGTCATAATAAAGCCATGTTAAGTAAAAACACAAGATAAGAGCTCAAAAGTATAAATGAGACGCAGATGAATATAATTAAAATAGAAGTGGAAAAATGCCGACCTACAATGGCTTTTAGGAAGACAGGACCGGAATGAATTGTAGACTTGTGGACAATGCTCATCATGAAGTCATATATGACATAGTGTGAAATTTCTGATATGTGAATAAAATACTATGCCTGCTAACGAATTAATTCCGGGGAAAATGATGAAAAGATCCAGTATCGATTAGCATCGAAGCTAGAGGTATTTTCAAATTGTAGCAGTTATCTTGTTTGAGTTGGCGTCCTATAGATATTGACGTCAAAATAATCTGCTGACGTAGTCAAGGAGCTTATAATAGATGGATATTTTTTATATTTTTCAATAATATTTTTGAGAATGAAAATTTTAGACGAACATTAACACAGATATATTAAAGTTTTTAATTAAAGATCAAAATGACAGCTATGTTTTCCACAATAATTAAAGATCAGAAAACCTAAATAGCTAACGAAACTTTCAATTATATATGAAAATATAATTATTTTTTACACTTATTAGAATTTTTAGATTGATCGAGATAATTGAGTACATGTAAGTTACTGCCTTATTTTTCTGCATTTTAAGATAGATTAGGCATTCTTTCATATATTAATTCTACTATTAACAATGCAATCGAAGAGACTTAATTTCTTTGGTTCGCATCATTAATGTTCGGAGCTTGACCGAACTATATTTAAGTCTGTGTTTACTCTCTTTGTAGGTCATGTGTTAAAGGCTTAATCGATTTGCTCTGATTCCGCTTGTTAATTTATATAACCTTGCTTTCATGCGCGTCTAGCCAATATATATATTCATTGTTTTCTATAGGTTTCGAAATGACGTCCACTTGTTAGCGTATTCGAAATTTATGGAAGCCCACATTTCACAAACAAATTGTTGGAATAAAGCAATTATTAAAAAATTATTTGCTCCTCCTATCCGAATATTTTCGGCTATAAATTGAGAGTAAATGTGTTTTAATTCATAGTTATGGGATTTTGGACAATTCCATCAAAATTAGAATTAATTACAAATTCATTGTAGGCGATTATATTTTCTGTAATTAATCAAAGCATACGAAATCACACAGAATTGGAAAGTAGCTTAAATGGGTTAAATTCCAAATGTGATCAATCCGATTTACAAATAGATAAAATTTGATGTTTATTCGCAGTCATCAAAAGACTTTCTGAAGAGTTGAGTTGGTAATTCGTGCCTCTAAAAGCTCTTTTTCCTAAAATTAAAAGAAATTTCAAATTAATTTGATAGTTAATAATTGGTACCTGATTTACCGGTTCCTCTTTCAAATGATCACTCAAACCCTGATTTATAATTTGATCTATGTATCCGTTTTATTATGTTAATCCTCAGACGTTTATTTTATCTCATTATTTAGTCTTTGGTACATTACTATGATATTAACTCCTGTTTACATTTAGGAATTTATATTCCAGTATCCATATTGAACATGGTGCTACTGTTACGGAGTCCCCTTTTATCGCATTTACTAATTTCTTATAATTGTTCATTAATTACGCTGAATCACAGTAATTATTCATTCTGTTTGTTAAATATTGGCTGACGAATTCAATGACCACCGTGCCATCGAAACGCTTTGCGATAAAATTAATTCTGAACACGCATAACTAGTCTTGACTAAGTGTATCCGAAAAGTGTAGAAACTTTTGTTGACAACGAGTTGGAAAATTAAATCCACCCATCTATTTCACTGGATATATCTTTAGCTCAATAATCAACCTCTTTCACTGGGTATTCTACATAGAGGGGTAGAAAGTTAAAAATGTTAGAATATGCACTAAATATTGAAGTCATGATCGTTGGACAGACTATAAATAAATTGAAAAGATTAAAATTCAATGTACTTTTGTTTCCCATTACACACTATTCCAGATTTTTGTCAAAATTTAGAATTTTGAACCACTTTACTTTCACTTTAAGTTCGTTCGTGTTGTAAAGTTCATTCATTTTTTGTATTTGACTTACCTAAATATCTATCTGGTGAATTATTTTGCTACCGTGATTATCTTCCTTACATTGGCACGGGAGTAAAAGAGAATCGACTGACATAGGCAAGTCTGAAGATGATGTGTCGTCACTGCTATTAATGCCTGTCCCTTTTACAGCATCCCCCTGTGCTCCGGTCCTTGAATCCTTCTGTTCCTCCAAATGGGAATCAAAATCAACTATTGTAATCGTCTGTTCAACCACGGGATTTTCAATAATATATGCCCTGTGTTGAAATTAAATATTTATATTTTTAAAGGTGTGATGTAGTGATAGTTTTCTAATGTTATTTATTATAAAGTTAGAGGTGTGCGATAGACTTACTTCCACGTGGTGCACCCTTGGCAACGTAGACTCATACGCCAAAAAGTCTATTAACTGGCAGTTGACTTCTGACCTCAAACTACCATAACCCCACTGGATTCCATATTCTACCACTTCCACAGTACTCACCTTACCCTTTCTCTGCTTTTGTGTCTGTCTATCTTATTTAGATCCTTGAATCACTTTTCTGTTCCACCTCTCGAATTTTTCTCACTTTGATGTTCCTCCCCTCTGTGAAGCCCAAAGCTAGCTAAATGACTAATGATAAGTATTACAAAGCCTGCCATTTGAAATAAATATACCAAAGTTATGCTATAATAAATTAAGTCAGTGTAAGAATACCCCTGAGAAGTAAAAAAGTGACATCCTCTTAGATTTAAACAAAGATCTTCATCGGCTATTTGGCTAATTGCTGTAGAAGAAGACCATTTTGACGTGTCACTATCCAGTTCTTGGATAGATCTTTGATTTATAGACCGATTGCCGTGACAGTCACTCGCCAATTGCTTCGAAATATGAAGAGGGTTTTGGAGAGCTTCATGTGACTCTACCGGTTGGATAGGTTTCATCCTAAAGACGTGATAATTTGCTTGCTTTAATTGAATTTAATTTTACCTTCTTTCTGATGATACCTCAAGATGACTACTTGTATATTTAAGTGCCAATCTCTCCAGTTGGTGGATTTTGGAGTTTTTTACTAAAATTATCGCTCGGAGACGTTCTAACTCTTCGAGAAGTTCATTAGATTTGGAGTCATTGGCATGAATTATTTTACGCAGGCGTTTTGCTTCAGCAACAGAGTGCTCTAAAAGTCTAAATTTAAAGGAAATATTATATAGAAAAGCTTTATTACATAAAACTTGCCATTACTGAAAAACCGTGTAAGCATGAAACCAATATCATTAAAGAACAGATGACTAAGTCGGCACGTTGTCAACATGGCAACTCATCTTTTCAGAGATCAAGGGTTTGATACTTATTGTTTATCGGCAATACTTGGTACTAAAAATCCATAATACTTCTATTTGCATAAAATTCCTAATAATCAACAATATTACATTGGCAATGGAAGGCAGTTATACGAGGTAATTTTTTTACTCAAATCAATAAAACCATTAGCTTTGATAAGGAGACCCTACTCAATATAGTCAATAGAACATAACTGAAAGCAATAAATGAATTAAGTATCAAATTTACAATATTTTATGCCACTTACTCAGCGTTTTTAACAAGACGTAATTTAAGATCATTGGCAATGACCTTCAGCTCTGGATACTTCTTAGCACGTTTCACTAGTTCTTCGCCAACTGTTCGTTTAGTACATGCGCATTTATGGCGTAAAATGTCAACTTCATTCTGGAGAGCGCATATACCCTCACGCAGATGATCTGACTCAGCAGTTTTTGCCTTCAACTCTGAGATTAATATCTTTTCACGAGAGGAACCATTTTTTAGGTTTTCTTCGGCTATAAGATTGTAGTGAAATTATTGATTTTCAAAGTATTTTTTGAACTTATCAAACACACCAACTTAAATTAATGCTTTTTTTTCAATTTTATAAACCCGATCAGAGTTTATTTTGAACAAGTTTTTTGCATGTTGCCACGATAAAATTAAGATGGGATTATCAAGTGTTCGGTAAAAATGAGGATATTTGGGTTTGAATGTGATTTAGCCATTATTAATTTCGAAGAGAGTGCCGCATTTATTTAATTAAACTCATATTTTTTAAAGGGGACGTTCGATAGACTTACCTCCACGCGGCGCACCCTGGGAAACGTATACTCATACGGCAAAAAAAGTTTATTAACTGGCAGTTGACTTCTGACTTCAAACTACCATGACCCCAATATAAGTCATGTTCGACCCCTTCCGCAGTACTCATCTTACCTTTTCTCTGCCTTTTTGTCTGTTTTTCTGTCTCTGTTACATCTGTGAATCATTATTCTGCCCCCCTTTTTGTCCCTTTGATGTTCCTCCGTCTCTCTGAGTAGCCCGAAGTCAGAGAGACGCCAACCATTTGAAATAAATAAATATTTTTTAAAGAGAAAGGAAAAAATAGGGTCTTACAGAGAAGTTGCTGGGATTTTAGTTTTTCGCGCAGATTTTCATGTCTCTTTTCGAATTCTCCTTCTTTAACCTCGTATTGCTGAATTTATAAGACAAATTAGTACAAAGCATTAAATTATTAATAAACCAAAAAAATGACCCACCTCAACCACTTTGCACAATTCATTCTTCAAATCATTAATCTTACTTTCGTACGACTCTTTTAGATTGCAAATCCTCTCTTCTTCATCTTCTTTTCTCTTCTGCTCTGCAATTTGGATTTGCGTCTTTATCTCATTCTCGAAGCTATCAAAAATGGTTTGTACTGATTGAACATCAGTAAAATCAATCTTTAGGAGTTGTTTCGCTCTTGATTTTAGCTTATGCAATTCAGATTGGTGGAATGATAGCTCAGTCTCGGATTTATCTAAGCGATTTTGAAGATTTGTGACCATCTCATTAGACTTATCGAGTTCTCCCGACAGGTTCTTGATGTATCCATTAGTATCTGTCAGTCGCTCCTTGGAAGAATAAAATAAACAGCAATTTAAAATTTGGCCTGACACACTACTGAAGTTTGGTTGTAGTATTACCTTTAAGTCATTTTCCATCTCTTTCGAATGATTAAGATCGCTCTTCAATTGATCACAAGTAGAACGAAGCTCCCCAACCTCTTTTTCGCGTTCTTGACGTTCCATTTCCAATTTATTAGATAGTTCGGCTCGCACACTCTCTAACTCATTATTCAAGGTTTCTAAATCATTGCATTTACGTTCGATGATATCAAGAGTCCGCCTGTCGTTTAATATTTTGAGGTTCGCATAAAGGGCTGAATAGTTGCTAACGAATTCACTTTCAAGGGATACTAGATCTGCTTCCCTATAGTGAAAGAGTAGAAAAAGCAGATAAAAACGTATCTTTGATAATAAGAAAAGGCAGCACAGATCAAATTTTCCGGGTACCAAAAATCTTATCTAGCAACCAATTTCATTTAATTGTAACATTTGCAACTCCAAAGCAACCAGAAAACACGTCTGACATTGCACGTCGATTTGTTTCATAAGGTCATGAACGCCCACATGGCTGCTGAAGCCGATACTGAAATAAATGGTCTGGTGCTTACAGTTCGCATGTGCCAATTAGAATGCAATCGCTAAGCAAAAAACCGGGACGACCTTCAAAATTCGATGAAGAAATATTAAAATTCCCGGCTAAACTAAATCCTCCCCCAGCCTCCCCCTCCCCCCTCCCCCCCCCNCAATAAAATAGGATGAGAATTTGGTGGTGGATACAATTTTCCAGTAGAGCAAAGAGACACAGACATTTCTTTATTGTCTTGTCAACAAACAAAACCTCTTTAACACCAAATTGCTAGCGTGGAAAGAGAACCGGATTGGTTACGACAATGTTAGTTGGAAAACCAATGGTTATCTCCCAATCAAATATCTATTTCACCCCCAAACTAATTCATGGTTGATCCATCGGAAAGTTCTTCCACGCATTTAATAGGATGCGAGTGAAGTAATTAATTACTTATGGGTAAAACCGGATGAAATTATTACAGTATTTCTGCCACCAAGTGAGAATACTAAATTAAAGCTTAAAAGATGAAGGCCTTATTTTACTGAGCTGAAAATGGATAGTTTTTTCTATATGCTGGTGTCCTGCCCAGCCACCCACATCAAGAATGACCCTTCAACAGAGTGAGGAATTGAATAGGGGGTTCTATCACGACCGCCATACTTGCCAGAACACACCCCTTCCAATAATACCTCTTTAGTTGTTTTGGAGCATACTCTCAAAGAATATGCATTTAAAGTGTGGATGAAGTCGCTGACCTCTTGAAAGGCTATTTTAATTGGAAAAGAGCTAGTATTTTTCAAAAAAATTGGGTTCGAAAACTAGAAGACCTATGGGAAAGAGGTGAAAATAATGACGAAAAATATGTCATATGGTATCATTTTCTTAATTTAAAAATGAATAACATTTCAACGTGGGCTTAAAAATGTCTGATTCCTTGTTGGTCCCTCCTAATAAAAGATGTTGTGTGAAATGATCAAATCAGAAGCAAGTTATAAAGATGGCACAGAAAAAAACATTTCACGTACACCTCGGTTAACAATGAGACATTCCGAAGACCATGGATAAACTTTTGGAACCATGTATGAGCTTTTTGAGTCCATTCAGAAAAGCTTTTCTGCCCATCTTCACTATTGGCAACGATTCCTCCCGAACTCGCGAGCTGAGGTTGAATATGATTTTCATTTGCCTCCAAGTCGAAAGCCAGGATATGCATTCGAGCCATGACATCAACAAAGCGGGTGAGAATGACTTGGAAATCTGAATCGCTTGGTAAACGAGGCGGATCTAAATACCTAGAAATTGGAATTTTAAATAACGGAAAGCCTTACTCTTCCTGACATGTCTTATCTGTCTGTGTGCCGATAGATGGATCCCGATTTCTGGTTCTGGTCAATAGTTTCGGAAGACGTCGATCTTTGTCATACTTAGCAATTGCCTTGCAGTCCCCATATCCTCCATTAGCAAGAGCAGTTAGGACTTCTGTAGCGGCTCTAACAGAGGAGTCGTCAACAACGTCCTGAATTTTCGCCATCTGAATAAAAATTGCGTTTTATAGATATTTAACTTAGAACTCCAGATTGGGAGTACTGGACTTTAGATAGTCTTTAGATTTTACACCAAATTTACAATTTTTTTTAGTTGACCCATTGCTGTTAATATTTATTGTATCCCGGCAATGATTAAAAGCCAAAATGTCTTTCTTAAGAAAGCGTGATAATGTTGGGGGGTAATTAAGAAAAACAGGAAACAATAAATTCCAAATGTCAAATCCTAGGCTAAACGAAAATGGGAATATTAAAACTACCTCGCAGAAATCTCTTCAATAACTTCTAACAAGAGATCTATTTATCGTATGCCTTAGCATTTGCCCATTGAAGGATAAGTTCTAGAATAAAGGGAGACGAGTTTAGGTTATTAAAAATGGCTAGGTTATATTAACAACCAACTTTACTTCTACAGGGAAGAAAGCGGATAAGGATGTCAGTAGAACCCTTAGAACAGGTGACCGCAAAATGAAAGAGGCAGCCTGATAGCTCTTGTCAAGAAAGTCAAAATACAGAACTTAGTGACGTCGCCCGATTAGTGCCAAAACACTCACAACCGATGAGCAGTATCAATTTGCACAGCGATTCAATAACTCCTTGAAATTTTATCGCTCAGATACTTTAAATGAAAAGACGGATGAGTCGATTGTACCAAACAATTAAAAATCCAGAATAATATATTTAACACAACTCTATCAATTCAAACCATTTCCTTAAATAGAGAAAAGTAGTCGTATTTGGTTAGATGGGGATTAAAAAGATAATCCTTAATAAAATCTCATTATTTTAATATCTAAAGATCATCCCCATTTCCTCTTTCTATGATGAAAGATTCTACTATGGGTAAAAAGTTAACCAAAAGCCAAACTTACAGCAAGAGTAACTTGATCAATAATTTTTCTATTTTTTGATTCAATGGCTGATAAATCTGAGGTACTATCATCATCATCTATTTCTATTAAATCACTTCTAAGATTTCCTATTGTTGTGGTCATTGAGGAAATATCATTCTTTTCATTGTTGTCAGGACTAAGAGAGAAAGTTCGCCCATCTGTCGGAATGAGTGACTTGTGTATCTTTCGAATTCTTTCGAAGTGAACAAGAAGATTTCTGATGATCTCACAGATATCAAATCCAGAATATAGCGAGCTCTGTAACTCATTAAATAACTCAATGTATTTATTGCAATTTACTTCTGATTGGAAGTATGAAAGAACTGCTTGCAACTGTTGAATAATTTCATCAAGCATTGGAGGGATTTCAGAGGAGTGATCAGTACATTCCTGAAAGGTCTTGATAAAATCAATAAATCGACACTTTAACCCACTTCATCTCGTCTAAGATAGTCCTGAGTAGATTCCCGTTTAGGAACTTCCAGTTCATTTGTTGCTTCCAAGTACCGATTACTATCATTTATTTGATACTTCAATGCTTCAATCTCATTTCCTTGCTCTTCAAGATCTGAAATATCTGACCTTTCCTCAAAATCGTTTAGTTTTACCAAAATATTCGGACTTTGGTCGAGCAAATGTTTGTCGTAGTTGAAATTTTGAGAAGAACCAATCGATTTCTGTGAATCTAAAATCATATTAGCCTTATTTACTGACGAAAAAGATCTCACTTACTTAGTCTCGAGTTCAAAGCTGGTGCATTTACAATCTCTTCAGAAGAGGTGTAACCCAATTCCATTTCTAATGTAGCAATTCTTTTATGTGCTTCCATTAGCCTCGTTTTAAGATCAGAAATTTCACTATTTTAAAATATCAGTAGAAGAAAATCAAAGTACGATTTCTGAGCATTTTCGCGCATAAAAGATTCAGTTTCAATAGCATCGTGAGTACTTTCAGCTTGAATTTGAAACATCTTTTGTGCCTGCAATTCTTCATTCAGGTTATTGTAACGCTGCATCCACTCTGAAAATGTTATTTGAATAATCGATAATTTACCATTTTCAGATGTCTGATATCTCAAAATTAAATCTTCATGTTTGTCATGAAGCATTTCATTTTCCGCTTTTAAAGTTTCCAGCATTTTGCTAAGGAATGGGAATTAGGTAATAATTAGAATTACGATGCACTATTGAGTAAATGACATTTTTCCTGCACTTGATCAGAGAGCCTAGCATTTTCACTTTTGAGATCAGTGATTTGCTAAGGAATAGCATAGAAAACTACACAGCAACTTACCAGAACAAATGTTCCATTAGAGTCTTTTTCAAAGATTTTTCGATAATTATGGCACAATAAAGATAAGTTAAAGTTTTCCCGACGCAATTTAGACATTTCCTTAAAATAAAATAATATTTTTATATACCTCAAAGACCTCAGAATTATTCAGTTTTCTACTTTCCTGAAAATTATCCAGAACTAATGACTCTGCTCTATTTCTAAAAACATACATTTGAATTATACAAACAAATACACGCTATCAAGGCATATTGAGGATTCAGGATTTGAAATTTCGACAAAGTTCATTGGTTAGTGAAAGCAAAGTCTTATGAAATTTCGGATAATAGCAGAACTTTGGGGTCTTCTATTCACCGCTTTTTATGATTGGCTGCAAGTCGTTACGGAATAAACAAATAGAGAGTTCTTGAATAGAAACAGCAAAACATCAAGTTAACTTTATTATAATTTTTAACAATCGATTTGAATAAAAAGGCCTTAACAATCAGAGATATGGAATATCTCTTAGATGTATATTGAATCTAACGACATATATTCTTTCACCTTAATGATTGCAAATCTAATCTGATCTATAATTGCATATGCCAATAGTTTAACTAATTGGAAAATTTCGCTTAACTTGAAGTACACAAAATTTAATTTTAAAATATGCTTCAAATCCTGGAGAAACTTATGTGAAATCATTTTCCAATGATACATTTTCTCGACAATCCTCCGAGAATATTGTATATGCAAAAGCAACATTTGTCAAAAATACAAAAATACAAATAAATTTATTTATTTCATGTTACCGCTTCAAAAGATTGAAAAATGCCCAATATAATATATATACTATTTTATGAATGTATAGGAAATTTCCCTTCCAATAACTTCACATTTGTAACCGAATACAATTAGATTGCAAACTAAGTCTTTTCCACATACCATGACAGTCAGTACACAGTGAGATTTAAATAACTTTTTATTCATTCGTACTGATTGGGCACAAACTTGTCAGCTTATTGATTAACTGTGTATGTAATGTTCTCAAGTAACACCTAATTATTACTGAAAAGAACATATAAACATTCAGAAATGAGATATGTTGGACGAAAGATAAATGTTAAGATCAACTGAAGGTAAAATAATGCAAGAATTGGCATGGTGATAGGGAACAATGTAAGGTATCTAACTGTAGAATATTTATTTATATCAAATGGCAGGCATTTTGATAGTTTCATTAGCCCATTAGGTGACTTCAGACCTCGCGGAGGAGAAGAAATATCAAAGTGAAAAAAAAATTCGAGAGGGGGGGGGAACAGAAGAGTTCTTCAAAGATGTAAAAGAGACAGACACAAAGGTAGAAAAAAGGTGAGGTGAGTACTGTGAAATTATTCGAATATGAAATGTGGGGTGATGATAGTTAGAAGTCAGAAGTCAACTTCCAGTTAATAGATTTTTTTGTCGTATGAGTATACGTTGCCCAGGGTACACTACATGGAGGCAAGTCTATTGCACACCCCTTTGTGCAGATAAGAGCGTCGGGCACTCGTGCCCTGGACTGTAGAATATAGAATTTATTTCTGAAGAGGTGGTGTGTGCAATAATCTTATCTCCACCTGGACAGCGTATTCTCATACGGCAAAAATGTCTATGAGTCAACAGTTAACTTCAACCCCCCCCCCCCCCCCCCCCCCCCCTCCCCCACCCACCTTGTGAAAACCGAGGTCAACTAAGTGGTTAATGATAAATATCACAAAGTCTGCCATTTGAAACAAAATTTCTGAAGAGGCTTTAATTTATGAAGATGAAGCAGACGAATATTATAATTAAAGAGCCCGATGATGCAAGTTCAATAATGAAGTTGAGCATTCGATGCATTCATGGACGAATATTGAATTATAATATATTAATATTTAGTAAAGTGATTTTGGTTACTTACTTTGTAAACACCAACAATTTAAATAAGCTATTTGATTTTTGCATAAAATCAGTGGACAAAATTTTATATACTAGATAAATAAATGTTAATAATAAAATTTGTTTAACAAAATTTTATTCCATGCGCCTTGGATGGTTTGCCAATTTCACGCTTTTCGTTCGGCTGTTGGGCTCAAAGGCTTTTGTTTGTGTTTTATATTTAACAAAAAATTACACGATCAATTATATCTATTGTCTCTCAAAAGAATAATTCATAATCATGGAATTACCGGATTTTTCATCGCTATATGAAGCTGAGTCGGCTTTGGAGCGCTTGGAAGAATCTCTCGAAAAATCTATTCCTAGCACACAAAACCAATTCCAGAATGTGAGTAGATAATTTTTGTCTGCTTGTTAAGACTGTTTATTTCCAACTTTTCTTTGCATGATTTATTTTTGATTTAGCCTCATCTAGGCGGCAGAGTAGGCCCAGCAAGACCACAACCACGAAGGCAAAAACCCCAATATGTTACCGACGGTATATGTGGTCTTGCTTTCGGAACTATGAATCCAGCATTTGCCAATCCCTTGGGTATTTGTTGTCAAATGCTCTTCTTTACTCAACAGGAGTACGATCGACACATCTCTGAGCATGTTCCCTGTCCTGGTCTGCCAGGGATTGAAAATAGCAGTTGCTGCAAAAATATTCACCCTTCGACTATCAAAATTCACTTGGAAATAGAACATAGGAAGAAAACTAAAACTGATGAGGCTGTAGAGCAAGATGAAGCTTTGAAAAGTTGGCGTGAAGCTCGTGCAAAGTAAGTCATAATTTTTTGTTTGCATTGATCCACACCGTTATAGCTGAACCAATATTATTTGAAAGACATTTTAGCATTTTTTACTTTAGTCTCATAATTTATCTGATTTGTATTCTGTTTTCTTAGGCTTAAACGTTTAGTGTGAATCGTTGTAATTCCTTCTGATAGTCTTCTTTCTGATCTTCATCAAAATTCTTCAGAGTGGCGATGGATAGAGTATTTCGTTTCACTATTCCATAATTTTTATTTTCCATTTAAATTTGTTTCTTTCCGGTGATGGTTAGATGGTAGCATTATTCAAACATTGGTTCATTGATTATGGTTACGAAAGTCGACTAGTTCTTTTATTTGTTGCTATGATCACTAAATTATACATCACCTTAATAAACAGTGCCTTCGTAAAAGAAGTTACGTTTTATGCATTTCATCATAGATTTTAACAGTTAAAGCCTGATGTATATTCCTTGATTGGCGTTAAGTAATTCCCAAAAGTTTATTAATTACTCAAATTTTTCAATGCGTTTTTTTTCACCCAATGTTATTGTCGCAACATTTTTGAGAATTTTCCCGGTAGTTGTGGAAAGCATTTTTGCCTTTAACTTACTTTGTTATGGCACTTTGTTCTTGTTTGTATGTCTTGGCTTTTTTTGTAGGAAATATCCCACTTTCGAACGTGTACAGGCCAAAATTCGAGAGGTGGGTTACCGTATGAACAGAGGGCAAATCTTTGTGACACGAAAATTCGGGTAAGCATTGCCCTTAATTCTGAGTAATCCAAAAATTTTTAATGCCTTTTATGCGTACCAAGACACAGCCGAGATTTGCTTGGCTTTAGTGATATAAGCGGATTGAATTCGTTTTGTTTCATTTCACCGGGAGGAATTTTGTAGAATAGTATATTTTTCTATTTTCAGCATATATAAATATAAATGAATATATATCTTTGTCATTCACGCAAATTATGCTTCCTTTTAAGGTTCTTCATTTCTAAATGGGAGTAACTCGTATCTTTAAATTTCTCACCGGCCATCAAAATTGATTATAGTCTCTACGTAGTGCTTCCTGAATACTGTGAAAAAATGCACTATGAACGGGAGAATTGGAGCAGCCACTACACGAGGCCATAGGTAGAAGAAAGCAAAATAGGCAATTTGAGCTTTTTCAGTACAGTTTATTACATCTAATGAAAGTCTTCGTTGTCAGCTTCCCGTAGAAAAGGCCCTTGATAAAGTAAAAAATTTCATTCTGACTCTTTTCCGATGAGAGAATTTATGCCAAAATCAAAGCCACAATAAGGAGAGAATAAAAGATGGCTTGGCTTGTACACGGTCAAAATGACTCCTCGAGTGATGCAGAAAGAACTTCCTCTTATGGTTTTCGAAACTCTTCCCTCCTTGGAGTTTCCTAACCACTGTAGTTAAACTCTGGATAACGCACGAGGGTAATCAATTGTGAGTCATATTTGTGGCGGCAGCAGGATTTGGCCTCCTGTCACACCTCGTAAGAAAATCTAAGTTGGCTATGAGCCGATTTGTATGGATATGCCAGATCCAATGTATGCTTACCCCCCGAACTTTCCAGATCTTAAACCCATGGTCTATTATTTATGCAATTCGCATGGTTTATAAAGACATGGTTCACCGCACCAGTAGGAGAGAAGCCAATCACTTGATGGTCAGAATTAAAACAGTTTGTGAGGTCCTTGTCAAGAAAAGTACAAAATCACTTTGCTTCCAATTTCGGGCCAGAGGCGCTACTAGTTGCCAGTGCGATTATTTTGATTGTAACTCATTGCTAAGAGTTTTAGGATTATTTTAAGCTGATTGCAGTTTGTAGCTACGGAACGCTCCTTCTCTTGTCCTGATGTGACGGTCTGCTTTATCCATGCACCCTGTTTAAAAGAGAACGGTTAGAATTAAATGGATTCAGGTTTTGCCTCGATTTTCCACCATGAAGCTTATCAGTGTTGTAAAAGCTAAAATTGATTGTTGGCCGACGCATATATCTGAATTAGTGGCAGTTAATAGATCGATATTTGAAGTGAATATCTAATTGATGTCGCGGCTCAACTTTACATGTTAATTTGGATCAACAAAGTTGGTGGTGGAATATGAACTTCTTCCAAGATCAGGTTTAGCATATCCCTCCTCTACCCTAAGCCTGTTGCCGTTAATACTTATCTTAATAGACTGACTTTAGAAATCGGTTGATGCAATAAGGAATCGCTTTCGTTAACTAGTAGTTAAAAGCCAATTTCGACCTAAGAGGCCTCGCTATTTATCACCAATAGCTTTATAGGTCAGGTTTCGTGACATCAGTTCCCATCACCACATATTCCGATCAGCTACATAGGAGTGCAAGAAGGATACACTTTTTAAACAGATCGACTTTGAATGTATTTCCTATGATTGAACTTCCTGGATTTTGGAAGTTACTGCACTATATTTGAAAGTTTTTATCACATTATTTTCCCTCTATTTAGATCTCTTAATAAACGCGCCCCACTCGAATTGCAGCCACTCCCAGATAAAGTAGTTAAACGATTTAAATCGGCACCCGAGAATGACGATTCAAACCAGATGGGAGATGAAAAAGTAAGTTTTGCCATGCCATTTTTTTAAATTGATCCAACTACTGATTAAATAGCTAGTAGCGCGTGTTTATTTAGTTAGTGTCGAACAGGCATAATGCATCAGCCATTCAAGAAGACGCAAATCTTAACGAATCTGAACATATCGATGAGGACGAGAAAATCGTAAGAAATAAAATATATTATTTTCACGTTTTCTTTCTTTTCTGAAAAGTAATGTGAAATGCTTATTAGTTTTCCGATAATGAGGAAGAAGAGAAAGGTAAAAGTGACGAAGGAAACGAAGGAGATCAAGATGTTGTCGAATCGGATAAATTGGAAGAATACGGTCAGGAATCGCCAAAGAATCCTGATGATGATGAGGTGTGACTGATGTCTAATGAGATTATTTAAGTATTTCCATCGACTGTGATAGTGTAAGTTATGTATCTTTTGTGTTTCACAGACTCCAATCTTAGATGACGAGGAGGATTTAGTTGATAAGCTGGAAGTCCCACTTAAGGAACAACCCGGACCATCTATTGCTGACCTCAATTACGACAGTGATCGTAGCTGGTCGGGGCAACTCGATGACGATGAAGATGCAGGCGAAAATGGGTCGAAACCTAAATCTTCTACTAATGACAAAATAAGTAGTATGTTCCTCTGTGAATTAAAGTAAAAAAATAGGAGTGAAGTGAAATGAAACTCGATTTTGTGCCAACTTTAGAGCTTGTACCAATAGTTGACTACGAGAGTTCCTCTGAGGAATCCATGGAAGACGATGCAGGTGATGCTAAAATTGCACCTCGTTTTGTAAGTCCTACTTTTCTTGATAAGTACATTGTAAGGTTGTTTGATTTCCGGATAATTAAGCTTCATAGAGCTTACTACATACTTACATGTGCGCGATTGTTAAGGTACATGGATACAACAAAGAGTAAAAAGTTTTGTAAAGGCTGGAGATGGTTTGTTCCGCACCATCCTAACAACGACATCTACAGGTCCTTGTTGATTATTACGTCTGGGGAGCACTTATCCTTTCAAAAGTTCAAGATCATTGCTTTCCATTCCACGAATATTCAATTACAACTAGCATCTTCGCTCTGATTTGGTTGAGTTGGTGATTTATGCTATTTGGAAGAGTAATCGACTACTTTGGTTGATTTCCATATTCCTATGTGACTTCGTTCTTGAGGTATAAATCCTAGTCTTGCTAAGTTTCCGTTGTAAACATTGGTCTTCTATAAGTCGCGTTTGAGTCCGCTTTTCTTTTAGAGAATTGAGAAAGCACAGAATCATGCGAAATCAACTAGTCAACATTTACGGATGTATATATATCCGACGAGAAATTGTCAGACTATCTTATCCAACATTTATTCGTAGCATACGCGTTGTAGTATGTGGTTAATATTTGTTGTTCCACTTTCAGTCGCCTCCGAAAAACCTCAATCTTATTGATCAACTTGGCTTCTTTAAACCTCAAACCCCCTGTGAGGACGAAGCGAAAGGAGAAAAGGAAGATGCAAAGAACACTGAAGGTGCGCCATTCAACAATCCTATATTTTTGTTCAATCCTAGCGAATTTCCATTATGATTTCTTTTTCTCCAGAGGGCGGCACACTCCAAAATCGTAACAGACGACGTCGAGATCGTCACTCTCAAATGCGTCGAGGTAGACGAAATCGCCTTGGGCCTTCCTCCAGGCGTCCAAACAGAGACGTTGCAGATGAAGAAGACGACTTACTGAAACCTCCATCAGCTGTTGAATTAGAATTGGGTCTTGAGTTGGATGAAATTTCTTCAAAAGGTGGTCAAAAGGCCTTTGCGAACCATCCAGTTGTGGAAATGGCCAGAAAAAGACGTCTCTGTATGAGAAGAGCCTCAACCATATTGAAACGACCAACTCTCCTACATATGGTGGGCTTTCTAATCATTGTTTGAATTATCATCTCTTTCGATTATCTTCTAAAGTCCATCTTCTTTCATATCTTTTAGTTGCTTGCTGAGGAAATACGACACGAAAGAAACCAGTTAATGCAGTGTGTTCGTTTCGTTGTCAACAATAACTTCTTTTTACCCAAATGAGTTCCACTTTTTGTACTTTCTGACCCCTTGAACTTATTTGCATATATATATTATAGTCCATGCGCACTCTTATTATTGGTACTTCATCCATAATGTAGTAGGGGTTTGACTTTTATTGGTTTTAAAGTCTGATCCTTTTTTATCAATTAAACTTTTGACGGTGATGGTGTCCTTTAGAATTATGGTCTATTCCAAATGAAATTACCTCAGGTCCTTTGCAATTACTAATAATGACCTTTTAAAATCGATGAATGGCTATTTAAATTGGAATGAATGAGTTTTGAAATGACTTCATCCTATGTGGCATACTGGTTAAAGTGATTGTCTGCGAGCACAGAAGTCACATCGATATCTTTGATTGTTTGGCGGTCTCTCGCTCGTTAATAAGGCGGATGACTGAAATCGAGTAGTCCACTAAGAAGACTTCACTCAAGATGGGTGCCTAAAATACCTTTCTATGAGGACATGGAAATTGCCGTTTCACAATTGCACTGGATCTCGAATGTTGTACATCTCATTACTACTTATCTTAGGCAGAGTCGATCGGCTAAACTGCCACTGAATGGTTATTTTGGTGTTGTAACTTGTGGGAAATATTTATTTATTTTAAATAAATGGGTATCATTAGCCATTTAGTTGACTTCGGGCTTCACAGAAAGGAAGAGGAACATCAAAGTGGCAAAAAGTCGAGATGGGGACAGAATAATTATTCACAGACGTAGACGAGACAGACAGACACAGGTAGAAAAAAGGTGAGGTGATTTCTGTGGAATTAGTCGAACATGAAATGCAGTGGGGTCTTGGTAGTTCGAAGTCAGAAGTCAACTGCCAGTTAATAGACTTTTTTGCCGTATGAGTATACGTTGCCCAGGGTGCACCACGTGGAGGTAAGTCTATCGCACACCCCACTTGTGGGAAATAAAATCAGTATATTAAAATGAGGAGTTTGATTTCTCAATAATGTCTGACCAGGAAGTGGTTGTGTCTAAGTAGGTGACACGATAAGGGGATTAATGAGTAATGCGAATATTCAATTCTTAAGTAGTATCAACTGAGGGGAGGAGTTCAATGCATCATGGCCATGTAGTCCACATTTCAGACGTCGACTTAAGCAGAGCTTTTTAACCATTTAACGGTATCTCATGTCACTTGGATAGTAATAATAATATCCCTCGTAGGGCGTGCACATGGTATTTTAAAGGTGGCAAATCACTCTAAAACTTACGCAAATAGATATCTGAAATATATAGGGCCTTGTGGATGGCAGTAAGATAAAATGGAAAAATATTTATTTATTTATTTCAAATGGCGGGCGCTTTGGTAGATATCATTAGCTCTTTAGCTGGCTTCGGGCTTCACAGAGGGGAGGAGGAATATCAAAGTGACAAAAGTCGAGAGGAGGAACTGATTAATGGTTAACAGATGTGAAAGAGTCAGGCATACACAAAGGCAGAGAAAAGGGTAAGGTGAGTACTGTAAAGTAGTCGAATATGACATACAATGGAGTCATGGTAATTTGAAGTGAGAAGTCAACTGCCAGTTAATAGACTTTTTTGCCGTATGAGTATACGTTGCCCAGGGTGCACCACGTGGAGGTAAGTCTATCACACACCCCAGTTTCAAAATATTGTTAATTGACCAGCAGAAGACTATGTCTCAACTTATCTATTTTGCTCCATCAAGTAATACTGCCACATAAGTATTTGACACCATCAGTTAGACGCCAAAAACACGGGAATGACCTTGGTTGCTATCCTGCAGAACTCATATATGGTACAATTCTTAGATTTCCAGTCGAAATACTTATCAAACCCACTTCCATATTCTTCGCGTTTAAAAGGTCATATTGGATCTGTCTGCAAAATACCCGCTCATCTGAAATGATAGTCCAAAGCAGATCCAAAATAACTTGTCGACATGCAGCCTAGTTTTTGCTTGAGTGGATACCGTAAGACAGCCATTGTAGATACCTCAGTAAAGTCTACTCACTTTCCTTGAACAAAAACCCAATCACTCCATTCTCGTGGTTAACTTTAATAAGGACTCCATAAATATCGAAAGATTGAAGCCAGCTTACCTAGACCTTCCTGATGCAAACCTCCAGCTAACGCTCATTCTGTGCACTCCAACACACAACTTCCTGCATCCTAGCTCACCGAATACGTCTTTTTGAGGGGTATTGTTCACATTTCCGCTCTTCCCTTTCCGTCCTTCCTCCCAGTACTACCATACCATCTTGAATATCTCGACCCAAAGTATCTCTCATTCGTTGTGGTTAAGGAATTATCTTTCCTTCTCTTCTGGATGAATATGCGCACACTTTAGTTACCTTACAACTTTCTAGAGGCGGAGTACTGTGGAATCCACAACACTACAAATCTGATCGGATCACTATTATTCGCCCTAGAAGTGCGACGAGGATGCAAAAGCTCATCAAAACTCGAGAAACAGTGGACAATGGCACTCTCGGACATAGCTGACTGGCCAAGAATCGAAGCTGTTGCTGAGTTTAGACTACTTGGCCAAGAATCGAAGCCGTTGCTGAGTTTAGACTACGTACCGGACGGATTGCCTGGCAAAACACCTTCAAAGATTGGGAGTATACAAATTGTTTGGCAAAACACCTTTACGGGTTGGGAGTATACACTCAACCCACATACCCCTATGTAACCTACATGAGGAAATGGAGAAGACCCACCTGATTCAGAGTCCAGCCCTAAAGACAACGACGGAAAGCCAGAGATACTGGGAAGCAAGAAGACAGCTAATGAACTGCTATTAATTAACTGCTATAAATGTACCCCCCCCCCACCCACTTGGAAAGCTGAAGTCAAAGTTTAGGGCTAACGATAAATATCATAAAGCCTGCTATTTGAAAAAAGTTTATGATGAAGCTCCGTACCAATTACTCTAAACGTTACTCATTACGTACGTTCCCTTTTCCCGATATTTTGTGGAAGAAACTTTGTCACTTTCGGAATGAATGTCAGACCTGCAGATTTTGCCAAGAACGATTGCTAAGGTGTAGACAAGGCTTGTTTTGTAGTTGTGTAAGCCGTAATCACGGAGTGCTTTTTGGTGGCCTATGTCTAACTGCGTTTACTAAGCTGAATCGGCAGAAAATACTATATTCGAGTCCTTATGACCACTCAATCATTTCCAATCATTAGGTGTTGATAGGCATTTACCGACCATAGCATTTTCCCAATATATTTATTTACATCAAATGGAAGGCGTTTTGATGGTTATAATTAGCCCTTTAGTTGACTTCAGGCTTCACAGAGGGGAGGAGGAACATCAAAGTGAAAAAAAGTCGAGAGGAGGGGAACTGAAGAGTGTTTCAAAGACAAACGTTGAAAATTTAGAAAAATGTGATGTAGTACTGTGGAAGTGGTCGAATATTTCTTAGAGGGGGGGGGGGGCTTGGTAGTTTGAGTCAACTGTCGATTAATAGACATTTTTGCCGTATGAGTACACGTTGTCAAGGATGCACCACATGGAGGTAAGTCTATCGCTCACCCCGCATTTTCCGATTATATGATCCGTAATACTTACGCACGCTTACTCGTATGTCTGCACCCTCCAAACATATCTCAAACGGGACAAAACCAAAACGTCAATTGTTTTTCACTTCTTTCGATCATTACTGGCTCAGTTACTCATATTTCCTTTTCCTGCATCTTTCGTCGTCTACTTTCAATTTTAAGTCATCCAGTAATCACGTGATCCTACTAAGCACTAATTCAGCGTTGTTGAAGAATGTTAGGCCAATCATTAGTTAGGTGAGACGAATTCATGCTCAATATGTTGTGGCCATAAGTTGGGACCACACCTCAACAATTATATTTTAAGTCTTATATTATGTTTCAAAAGCAGTATTTTCAACATACTGTTAATGTTATTGTCGCATCTCCTTTGTCCTTATCCATGTAAAGAGGGCAAGATTTTATTTTCATCTAACCATAATAGGCAAATCCTCATTTATTTGCTTTATTTGTGAGTAAATCTAGATGATAATTTAATTTTCACCTTTAATTGTTGAAAGATTTGCATGTCGTGGATGATATTTGAATTTTCATGCAGAGGCCTTAGAAGTAAATATTTTGGAATTAGACGACCTAATAACTTTAATTTAATGATTAATTCCACTAGAAAAAGCAGATCTTAGCAACTTTTAAGAATAAGAAGCATTCAAAATCTGATGAAAGGCGGAATCCCATGAAAACAAGATCGATGGCAACTTAAATGAATTCGAAGTGTTATCATTTAATAAAGATAATTTAAATCCATCTAAAATTTTAAAATATTCTTAATATGGCATTGGGGAGAAACGCGAAGACATGAATTACGCACCCTGTTTATGGTTGCTGATGCTGGCTAATAAGATATTTATTAACTAACTTTTAAAAGATGCTTCGGTAGGCCGTTGACATAACAGTTTATTTTTTAATAGGAAATAGAAAGTTTTAGAAAAATTTATTGGCATATGGGAAATGCTTGAAGGATGCGGATGCTACTCGTACTTGAGCCGCGGAGGAAAGGAATAAACTGAGTGATGTTTGCTCTTAAAACTATTCGAAGTTGGCTGATGTTGTCACCAAATTTATCGTAAAGCAAGTTTAATTTAGCTTTAAATATTTCGTTGCATAAAAATGAGCTATATCAGAATATCGATGTCTGTGCAAACTAATAAGCATCAATAAGAGCATTGACATTATTTTTAAACAGTATATATGTATAAAAAGCAATAAAAATTGGACATAATTAAGTGCTAACCGTTGACTGGGAAACTAAAATTCAATAAAGTTTAGAAAAGGTAAGGGGAATGCCTTTTTCTGTTCACACTTTTAATGGCAATAAATTATTGAGGGGGAAAAGTTAAGGAAATCATTTAATTTATAACGCTTTATTTCGATTCATAATTAAATTTGATTGAAAATAAATTAAATTTATGATATCATTAGAGCATTAAACAAAACCCAAATTATTTATTTTAATATTCAAATTATTTTTTTGTTATAAAAAAGCAAAAAAGATATACTTAAATTGTTTTAAAGAGAAAAATTATTTTGTACAAGCTTTGTTTAACCGTTAAAAAGTCAATCTGTTCGCGACAATTTAATCTTGTAGGTCATTATTTCCCATCTCGAGAGATGGTAAAAGTCAATGATCTGCGATATTGCAGAAACAATGGGTAAGTATTAACTTAACATTTCATAGGATATATTATTATGTTTTATTTCCTTTTAAAATGAAAACTTAACTATGCGGTTGATCTTTTAGAATAATTTCAATTGGAATTAATGATGGTTGTCGGTTTTATAAACTTCAGTCGGATAAAGTTCTTGAAATTAATCGTTTAGGTAAGTTATTAAAGCCAAGTGATCAATTTTTTAGTCGGTGAACCTGTGCTTCATTTATCGTCTTTACCGCAAAACCGTGCTTCCGTTGTCACTAAAAGTGAACCGAATGCTCTAAAGATAGTTAATCTTTCGACGAGGACCATTGAATTAAAGCAATATTTCGACTCCCGTGTGCTCTATTCAAATGTCGTTGGTGATGTAAGATCGCATTTTATTAACCATCTTCTGTCTTAGAAATTAATTGTTGGGCTTTATTCCTCCATAATTGTCACATGTTTGAAAGTCCAAAATATGGAATTAAGCCTAAAAGATGTTGCTCCTGACTACAATGGTCTAATTGCAATGTCTTCGAATCCTGTGAAGTACATGGCTTTCCCTTCACCTAAAGACGGCCATGTTAATGTCGTTGATTTACAAAAAAATACGGTGGGCGTTCTTTATTCACTTACTTTTGATGCCATCAAATTTCTTGACAAATATTTTATATTTGACAATTTATTCTATAGGTCGTCAGAACTATAAATGCTCATTATCGAAAAATTTCTGCTCTGTCAATTAATGACACCGAAACACTTTTGGCTACGGCGTCTGAGGTCGGAACTCTCATTCGAGTTTTTGATCTTATTACCGGAGTTAAGTTGAAAGAACTTCGTCGCGGACATTCATCGTAAGTAAAAGTTTTGAAATATTTTTAAACTTTTGATTTTTCGAGTACAAGTTAACTTATAAGTAATGAAAAGGTTTTATACTTTTACATGGACTTTACATTTGGACTAACTATTTTAATAGTTCATTGAATGATCAAGATTTCCTGACCTCAATAAATCGAAATCATACTAAAATAATAGGTGAATTCATTTTAAGTAAATTGTTTATTTATTTATCAACGAGACATATGCAGGCCAAATATTACTAAAGCATGTATTGGAAGGTTAAATTTGTCTTAGCAAGCAATTTTCTTATCTCATTAATACCTTATTCCGAAATTAACTTTGTAATTCACAATTTTTATTTTAATTCTAATAGATCTGCGCAAATTAATTCATTAATCTTTTCTGCCAATGACGAGTATTTGACATGTGCGAGCGATAGGGAAACAATTCATATCTTTAGGCTTTCCCAATCCGGAGCTCCTTTATCTTCTAGGTAAGACATCAAATTCATAATTTGAATATACGCCCTCCCCCCCCCCCCCCCCCCACCCACAAAAAACTACTGGTCACATGTTATTTACTTTTAGTTCAACTCAAGAGGTTCTAGCTCAGGGACCCACAACTGAAACTGGTGCTACCAAGCCTTCATCTTGGTCTTTAGGAATGTTTTCAGGAATGTGTGAGTCGATCTACAATAGTGCTACTTACCTCCCAAGTGTCATCGAGTCGGCTTGTAACAGCGAAAGAGACTTTGCCGTGGCTAGATTTACTTCCAGCAAGAAGTACTTGAATTCAAAGAAATTAGCTTTTGTAACACGGTTAGTCTTTCTTTTTGGTTGTATGACTTTAAATTTCGAGCACAGTTTGTGGAGTTCTCACTTGTAACTTATGCGTAAATATTTTTTTAGTTTCGACAATACGTGGTTACTCATTGCCGCCAATTTCCACGGACACATCCATTATTTCAAATTTGATCCGATAATTGGTGGAGAATGTCAATTAATGTTATCCATGAAGTAATTTCATTATCTTAAATTTCGTTTGATATGCATTTTTTCCACTCTTTAAAAAAATCTGATCTATTGTTGTAGACTTCATGAAATTCCGCATGGAGAAGTTCCCGACGTAACTAGTTTGTCTCTCTTTAAAGATGTCGTGTAAGTTACCTCCCCTTGTCCCATTACGTTTTAGGCAACATAGCTGCTTGTATACGCATTTATTGCGGTCATTTGATGTTAGGTGAAATCCGCTACTCGCTTTAAGCCCTAAGCCATCTAGGAAAACAATAAGACCCGAAAATGTGTCCCCTACGCGAACGCCATAATTTATTAACTGAATGACCTAGAAGGAAAGTAGTGGGGCCAGTGTCCTTTTATTTAATAACGCGCTTCCAGATTATGGGTTCAATCTAATTAAGGCAAACAATGTTGTCCTTACTGTGTCGAGAAGGAGTGTCTGAAATTACTCGTATTCGGTCTACTTCTACTTGGTATGTTCGTATAATTCATATACTTCGCAAGGGGTCTATGCAGACTTAAATATGAGAAATTGTTTTGTAGTTTGGTAAAGAAATTGAAGATGCAAGTGATTGTCAAAATGAGCACTACTTTCTATTTTGCGCATAAGTGCAATCTATGCCAAATGGTCAAATGAGAACTCTTGAATTGATAAAACTTAAAGGACACCTTGATTTTTCTATTGTAATTTAAGGGCTTAGGTGCACTTTACACTAGACTGGCGCTGTTAATTATGTCAGTGTCCTCAAAATGTCTCGGTCATACTTTTAGAAGAGAGACAAAGTACAGCAAAGCAGTCTTTTCAAAGGTTGGACTTTTTATGAACTTTCGAATCTCGGTTTTGTCCGTTTGGCGTTAACAATAAAGTATTTCAGAATTGTAACGTCTAGAGTTCGCGAAGATGAGTTGTACTTTAATAAGTCAAACTCTGAAAGTCTTTATGACATCATTTGCATACTCGGAATAAAGCTGGCAACAGACAAGTATCTTAGGGCTCCTTTTAGTGGATGTTTAATGGTGATATCACTTCTCTTGTTTGTCAGAGAATTATTGAATTGTAGTGCTAACATTGGTTAAACTTGATTAGACTCCATGATAGCACCTTTGACTTTGAAATCAAATTCATCGCACAGAATTTTGTCATATGTTGGCTTGGAAGAGTAAAGTAGATCAAAAGTGGTTCGGGAAGTAGTGAGACTGAGTATACGTGGAAACATAGATAGCTGGATTCGTCTTAAGAATTTATGTCTCATTAAATATTCCTGCTTATTTTAGTACCCCAACCATAGAGGCCTCAACGTCTCCTTCTAGTTCAAAGACTAAAGTGGATGAAGAAATAGGGTTAGTTATTATTTTGTGCTTTAATTACACATTATAGTTAATCGGGAGGAAACAAAATTCAAATTTTTGTTCAAATTGAGATTAATTAAATTCATACATCATTATTTGGTATGTTGGAGGATTGAATTTAGTTTATATCTGGTACTATTTTATTGAAAATTTCATAACAAATTCGAGGTTATGATAATATGAATCATTGCTGCCTGAAATGAACTTTAGTGACCTAGGTCCTCATTGAGGTCTCGAGTGTAGCCCAGCGATTTCAAAGTCCTGATTTTATCGATTTTAGGATTTGTTTGGGTTTGCTTGTTTATTTTTCAAAAGCCATTTACCCCTATAATGGTTCCCATATTTGATTCGCTGATATTTATCGATCAACGGATTATTTTATCTATTCATCAATGATTTTCGACAGAAGTCTCGCGATCCTTGAGTCTATGCATTTTTAATCCCGAAAACACGTGAGGCTAACAGATCGTCAACAAATTTCATATTATTAGATTTTTTCTTTGATAAGCATTTTTATAGAGTTGTCAGGGCCCACCACTTTTGACAGGGGGAGGGGAGGGGGTGGCAAAGGGGTTGCTAATTTCTGGTTTGCGCATGAAGAGAAGAATAAGAGGATAAACTGGCTGCTTAAAAGCCCGACATTTGCTCCAACTTGGGCTTCAGGCTATGCCCTCTATTTATCCTTTCAATTTTCACTAAAGGGTCAGGATGCATAGAGGAAAACATCTGCTATAATAACAATTTATTGGTGATGACCTGGGGAGATTTGGTGCTGATATTTGTTGGTGCGCTAGAGTAATGTTTGTACACACATAAAGTTTTGGCACTATGGGGTTGCAGATAAATATAGGGTCAGAGGAATTTAAAGTGCCCGATCACATAGGACGCATGACTCATTGAGCTAATAGAGTTGCACTTCCATTATTTGAGTGTAATCCAGATTATTTAATCGCAGGTCATGAGTGATAGAGGTTGAGGTCAAGCTGACTCATTGTAGGAAAATTTTGGGGAAGTTATCAGGTCACCTTAAGACCATATTGGTAAGGAAAGTTCTTCTGAGCCCTTTGGTGATTGAGAATTTCGAATCAAACAGGCCCTGTAGTAAATTCATCTATAGCCATCTCTAAATTCGAGGCTCAAATTTTATTTCGAATTTGGTAGGGTTATTTATATCAAATGACAGGCGTTTTGATAGTTATCATTAGCCCTTTAGTTGACTTCAAACTTCACAGAGGTAAGTCCTATGGAAGTGGTGGAATATGACGTACAGTGGGGTCATTGTAGTTTGAAGTCAGAAATCAACTACCGATTGATAGACTATTTTTGACGTATGAGTGAGTGTTACAATACTGAGTTATCTTCAGAGCCTGCACGTCATGACTTTAATTTTACCACAATTTTCCATTTTTTGGTATTTACTACCATTATAATGAGTGCTCGCGCGACAGACAATGATGTCCAATTAATTGAGATAACAAACAATCTAGAGTAAATATGTTGGAGGCATTTAAATATTGACGCTATAAATTCAAGCAATCAATGTAAACAAGATGAACCTTAAGTTCTCATCTCTCCTTATCCGCGAGGCTGGGGTGAAATTCAGCCAATTCATTCTCCATTGTTCGGGAAAAGTTAGTTGTGAGTGAAACTCCTTGAGAGGATCAGATTGTGAAAGTGCAAATTTGACTAATACAACTTCAATGGAACTCAAATTAGGCATGTGCTGAATAATAAGCACGGCATATATCTCTATTGCATGAAGTATTGAAAGTGAGTCACTACAGAAAGGAGCATTTCAAATACTCCAATAAGGATGGAGACATTGTCCGAAGTCGGGATATTGCACCTTACATCCTGAGTGAGTATTTTAAGTTCCAAAACTCGAGATAGTATGAATCATATCTCGTGTTGCTGTAACTAATTTTCTCCGATGAACCGAGCATATCGATCGGTTTTGACTTCTCAATTCACCTTCTTCTAATGATTGAGAATGCAAATTGATTAGTGGGAGGGACGATAAATTTGTCGTATTTATTTTATTCATTTCGAGGACTAATTCAATTACATCCATTGTATATTTGAACAATAAAACCAGAACTTGATATATTTTTTCCTCGTTTGTTCACCAAAAGAACATAGATAAGGAAATTTCATGAAAAAGAAGAGGGTTTTCTATCATTTTTTGTTGAGGATTTTTTCGAGCAACTGTTAAGTATTTGTAATATCATCAACTGACCAAGATAATTTTTTATAAATATTCACCTTCATTTCTGCATTTAGTTCAACAACGAATGGCGACACTTCAAAGCCGATGCCTCCAAAGGAAGCACTCAAAGAAATAAGGTAAAGATAATCAAGTGCTTTCCTTTAATTGAATTGTAAGTCAGTGGAAACCCTTCAGCCTTGTGCATAAGAACGAATGAATTCAAACGACGTCGATTCGTTTCCCCTAGAGCTTTTCGCAGATGCCACACTTGTTAACCACAGTAGTCTCTAACTCACAACCCCCAAATATTAAATTACTTCCGAAATGAACTTCTTGTGGTTGTATTTATGACACCAAGTTTAGTCCTCAATCTACTGTGGAGGTATTCTACAGACAACTTTAATAATATATAAACTTATATCTCAGTCGGGATTCGTTACTTGTTAAATATTTTTCCTTTTGCTAATGTTGGCAATAGCATCAGCTGTCCAAGATATATTTTTATAAATATTCACCTTCATTTCTGCATTTAGTTCAACACCAAATGGCGACGCTTCAACGCCGATGCCCCTGAAAGACGAATCTGAAGAAATAAGGTAAAGATAGTCAAGTGCTCTTCTTTGATTCAATTATAAGTCACTTTTGTGATAACCCAAGAACACTTTTAGTCGGTGGAAAGCCTTTCGCCTTGATCATATCAAACTTGTGCGAAAGAGCGAATGAGTTCAAACTACGTCCGCTTTTTTGGTGTTAAGATTTTTTAGCGGACACTGTAAAAATTAGACTCATCATTAAATCTCAGAAAAATCTCTAAGACAAATCCCCACAGTATTAAAATGCTTCGCAATTGGTTGTGTCCGCGACACCAAATTTTGGTCCTCAGAATACTCCAGGGTTATTGTACCCTCAACTTTCCTAACATACAATTTTATCTCAGCTGATGTTTGCTAATTGTTAATCATTTATTTTCGAGAAACTCCTTCCTTTTTAAATACTGGCAAAAGCACCAGTTGTCCAAGACAAATTGACAAATTTATTCACTTCCATTTCTGTGTTTAGCTCAACACCGAATGGCGACACTTCAACGCCGATGCCCCCGAAAGACGAATTGAAAGAAATAAGGTAAAGATAATCAAGTGCTTTCCTTTAATTGAATTAAAAAATTTTTGTGAGAACTTGAGGACACTTTTAGTCAGTGAAAAGCCTTTGGCCTTAATCATTATCAAACTCGTGCATTAGAACGAATGAATTCAAACGACGTCCATTCGTTTCCCCTAGAGCTTTTCGCAGATACCGCACTTGTTAACCACAGTAGTCTCTAACTCACAACTCCCAAATATTAGATTACTTCCGAAATGAACATCCTGTGATTGTATCTATGACACCAAGTTTAGTCCTCAACCTACCGTGGGGTATTGTGCAGACAACTTTACTTGTTCGTTACTTGTTAATTATTTTTCCCTTTGCAAATGTTGGCAATAGCATCAGCTGTCCAAGATATATTTTTATAAATATTCACCTTCATTTCTGCATTTAGTTCAACACCAAATGGCGACACTTCAACGCCGATGCCCTCGGAAGACGAATCC